CATGCATTCTTGAAGCTATATGCCTTAACACTTGACGGGCTTATGGCTTGCGGACTTCGTCGCAAATGTGAGCCGATAGCAAAGTGGACAGCCCCGAACTCCACAGCCAGCCCCAAACCCGACCCCCAAATTGAAACCTCCAAAGACCAAACCCCAAACACCAAACCCTAAACCCTAAACCCTAAACCCTAAGCCCTAAGCCCTAACTCTTTAGAACGATCCCGAAACATGAAGTACTCATAGACGGAGCAAGTCAGAGAAGTTTTTCAAAACGCCTCGAGAGAGCCCTGGGAGGCGGTTGCAATCCCCCGAAGCCCCGAGGCCAGGGTTTTGGGTTTCGGGTTTCGGGTGTCCATTTAAAAGGGGGGGCTTAGGGTTCAGGGTTTAGGGGGGTTTAGGGTTCAGGGTTTAGGGGGGTTTAGTGTTTTGGGTTTTGGGTTTTCGGGTGTGGAGGTGTTGAGATTTCAGGTGTCTGGTATAGGGGCCAAATTACTTACCTGTACTATTTTGGGGGCTCCTCATTAGAATTCTAGCATCATGGGCCCCAAAACCCTATTCTAATTAGTAAGGCCCCTATATTACAGCTGGGGGCATTTTGAGGCCTTTGGGGCTGAGTTTCATGTTCCTTTCTGTGGTGGGCAATCGCCTCCACAGCCTGTTCCAGGTTGGGGTTCAGGGCGGCTTGGCTGCTTGGCTTCTGGAGAAGGACGTTGTACAGTAGGTGTACTTGGGTGGGCACCCCAAATCCCTGAACCCTAAATGGGTAGTTCTCGAAAATAGGGTCCCTTTTTAGGTCCCCAATATAGTACGGCACCCTTATAAAAAGGACACCAAAAGGGACCCTAATTTAGAGAACCACCCAAATGACAGTAGGTTCAGATGCGAGAAAGATCCGAAACTCCTTGCCAGACCTTCGTCTTAGGGGCCGCCCCGAAGCCCTGAACCCTTCGAACACCCCCAACCCCAAACCGCTAACAACCTCACACCCTCAAACCCTAAAGCGCTCCCAACACCCTAAAGCCCTCCTAAAACCCTAAAGCCTCCTAGCTCTGCCTTCCCGGCAGGTGACGAAGCAGCTGATGAGCCCCGCGGGCCTTCGAAGGCTCATGACCTTCGCAGCAGCTCGGCTTTAAAGTTTCACATGTAGGGTTTACTGCATGCTACTACTGCTACTATTGCTACTATTGACTACTACTGCTGCTGCTGCTGCTACTACTGCTACTACTACTACTACTACTACTACTACTACTGCTACTACTAGCTACTACTACTACTACTACTACTACTACTACTACTAGCTACTACTACTAGCTACTACTTCCACCACAACAACAACAACAACAACTACTACTACTACTACTACTACTACAACTACAACTACCACTGCGACAACACCGACGAGGACTGCGACGAGTGGTTTTGGCTGTGAACTGCATGCCATCAGCCCGAAACACTAGAACCTGAACCCTGAGATTTCTCGCTGATCTTGCACGATGTGGCCGCGGAGCCCACTTAGCACAGCCATTCCCCGAGACTTCAACTCAACATCCCTTCCTCAAGGATGCCTGGTTCGCAGGGTGTTGATAAGTCTTTTATAACGTGGTACACCGAGTTGATGGGGTTCGATATGCCTTAACCAAATGCTGTTTATGACTTAGGGAGAATTTCCTTCACGTGGGTATTTGGAGTCTCTCTGATCTTGAATATGACCACCCTCGAGTTCATTCAGCATCCAGAGAGCAAAAGTGCCACAAGCGGAACCATAGCAGCTATACATCTCACCACTAGCAGTCAAAAAAACAGCAGCAGCAATGCTAGCATAACAAAGGGCAGCAGCACTACGTAGGAGTAGCACTTGTAGCACTAGTAGCAGCACTAGCAGTAGTAACAGTAGTAGCAGTAGTAGCAGTAGTAGCAGTGGTAGCAGTGGTAGCAGTGGTAGCAGTAGACGTTGTAGTGAGTGGTAGTAGCAGTAGCAGTAGTGGCAGTAGTTGTAGCAGCAAGAACAACCAACGTGACTTGCCACAGCCGGAAAAGAGGTGGATGCCGCAAAGTCCAAGGACGTTGGGGACTCTTATGCCCTGTCCTCAGACGGCTCGGGATCAGAAGACTTAGTAAGTAACAGGCCTCTCATAATTAGTATACCTGAAGACCCTATTCTCATTATTAAGGCCCCTACAATAAGGCTGATTAGGGTGTACAGGGGGAGGGAACTATATTGTACTGGCTTCGACTAAGGAAGGTGTATGAAAACCTTACAAAATTGTTGTTTTGAATTTCGTGTCAGGTTTATGTAGGGTTGTTTAGGGTTCAGATTGTTGCGTTCAGGCTTCGTTATTTTTAAGATGGTTGTAGTTGTGCTTCTTGTTTGTTGGTTTATGGAGTCTTTTGTTGATTTGGTTTTTGGCAATTTGGGGTTTCGAGGTTACGGAGTAGCTTGTTTGCCAGCTTCTGCTAGTGCTCCTGCTTGGTCCTGCGTATCTATCAGAGCTCTGGTTTCTTAAGCCCTAAACTCGATCCTGAGCCTGCACCCAATTCCTAAACCTTACATCCTAAACCCTAAACCTCTCAACTTCTAAACCCAGGCAGACCGAAAAAGGGAGCGCTCAACAAACAACTCCCCCAGCCTTGGAGCTTAAACCCTAAACCCTAAACCCTCAGCCCTTGTGCCCCTTTGGCAAGGTCCTGTCGGCGACGATCTTACACCTCTCGGGGCGTATCTGGGCCAAGGAGGCTCTCTTCATGGTTTTTCTGTCTTCGCAGTTGGGGGGCGGAGTTCTGGATGGCCGTAGATTTTTATGGGGCTAAACCCTAAACCCTAAACCCTAAACCCTAAACCCTAACTGGTAGCCCTTAAGGGTTTAGGGTTTAGGGTTTAGGGCCTTCTTGAAGCCCTGCAGAGGCCCTGACGATCCTTGCAAAGGTCGACCCACGACCCCCAAACACCTAAAAGTTTTAATATAGAGGCCTATAAGCTATAAGTGATTACCAACATTACCGGGCTCCCGATTATTAGAAGTATGGTATCATATACTGAAGAGCCCCCGTCTAATGATTAAGGCCCTTACATCAAGCCGTAAGCCCCAAAACTCGAAGCCCAGAACCCTAAACTCCAAAGCCTAAGCCCTAAACTCTAAAACCCTAGGGTTTAGGGTTTTGGGATTTGGGTCCAGGGTTTAGGGTTTAGGGTTTAGGGCTGGACCCTGAACCAAAGAGGCCCGGACGATCACTAGTCACAACCATAACATGGCAACCCCCTAAAGCCCTAAAACCGAAACTGCCCTGAACCCCTTAAACCGCTAAAGCCCTAAACCTTTACGCCCCTGAAGCCCTAAACCCGAATCTGCAAAACCCTGAAGCCCTAAAGCCTAAACCCTAAACCCTAAAGCCCCAAGCCCTAAAGCCCTAAACCCTAAGCCCTAAAGCCCTAAAGCCCTAAAGCCCTAAAGCCCTAAAGCCTTAGAGCCTTGGAGCCTCCAGAGGCCCAGATGATCATCTTACAGGGCCTCCAGCCGATACTGACGGCTCTTCTCAACAACTTCCTGGCCGAGGCTATCGCCGGAAGTAGCGTTTAGGGTGCAGGGTTTATTATAGACATTGCATATCGTTTGGGCCCCTGAGTTTTGAGCGAAAGTTTGGAGCAAACGTTTTTTTTAAAAATCACTTTTGCTGGGGTGCAGCTGGGGTTGTCTGCAGCCTGCTACGGAAAGACTGCTGGGGAACTGGCGCTGGCTGCTTTTGAAAAACTGCTGGTATGCCGTAGCGTAAACAGAAGCTTGCTGCTTGGTGTTCTGAGGATAGCCGCAGCTTGGGTTACCTGCTGCCTGCTGCAGGTTTCTGGCTGCTTTCGGAAAGACTGCTTGCTGCAGAAAGATGGCTTACGATACCATGATTTGCTGTCGCAAATAGGTTGCCGCCTGCTTTTGAAAAAACTGCTGAAGATACTAAAGTTTGATGCTAGCAGAGGACGGCCATGTACCTTATGTTCGCCGGTAACTGAAGGACAACAGAAGAGAATCCCATACGTTGAGTTCGTCCTTGACTGAAGGAGAACAACGGAGGGCCGTGCATTTCATGTTTGCCCTTCTCTTCATTGGCGGAAACACGGGAGGGCTACGTACCAGAGATAAAGGCATCGCCTGCTTTTGAAAAAACTGTTGTTGATTGCTTTTGAAAGATGGCTGAAGATACTAAAATTTGATGCCGCACTGGAGGAACACAGAAAAGGGTCATGTATTTTGGGTTCGCCCTCAATTGAAGGACAACAGGGGAGTGCCATGTAACTTATGTTCGCCTCTAAATCAAGGGGAAAACGAGAATCACATACTTTGTGTTCGCGCTTAATTAATTGAAGGAGAACCACGGAGGGCCATGCATTTCATGTTGTTTCTCCTCTTCATTGACGGAAACAGAGGAGGGCTATGTACCAGAGATGAAGGCATGTACCTTATGCTCACCCTGGGCTGGCGATTGGTTGCGCATAAGCTACGCCTTCGTTGATTCAAAGAAACGGCACAATTTCTATTTATTGCCGTCTTGAGGGTTTAGGGTAGAAGAGGGATCTACAAGGGAACTATCGGGGTGTTGAGAGTTGTGAAGCGGATCTATAGGCGCTTCTAAGGTTCTCTCAGGGATCTCTAGTCGATCTGCAAGGAGTCGAGGGGTCATTTAAGGGTTCCATATTGTTTTGGGTTTGCTGTGAAGCTGTGGTGCATCCAACCCTAAACCCT